TGACAATACGCATGAAAACTGTTGATAAATAGTGATACGAAATGCCGAACAAACTGGTGGAAATTGACACAGTCTGTTATTTAATTTACTGGATGGTAGTGAATTTTTAACGCACCTTTTTGAGCTTTGAAAAAGTGCTCAAAATGGAAATATTTTAATAACGCAAAAATCATAATGGGAGCGATTTCAAGTAAAAATCCAATTCTTGGAAAAGCAATGAAGTAATTAATCAAAACTTTCTGGACACCAAAGAAGAGCTAAATATACTTCTGTCTTCCATCAAGAAAGGAGAGTTCTGCTTTCAATCAAAATACATTTAAACATAGCTGCTCAGAATCATCCCTACTGATCTTCGATTTCACTTTCATCACTACTGTTGATTTCGCTTTCATGGCTACTGGTGATGATACTTTCATCGTTACTGTCAACTACCTCCATGAAGTCTACTTTACATTCTGTTGCTACAGTGCCCTCTTTGCTTTCAAAACATATTGCTCTGTGCATAAAGCCAAACTCCTCCACTTTTCTTTTCCTGCAACAAGAATAAAAGATTTGTTTAACAGAGTGAAACCCTGTTAAAAGATTATAACAACCAGCCATCAAGTAACTGCTGTTGTGGGGTTTTACAACATTGGGTGGGTCAACAATAGAACAAATTGTACACAAACAATAAACCTTGTCGTGAAAGCCAACTGTAGCTGCTACAGTTGGGGACAAATGTTTAACTGCTTTCAAGAGTTTTACGCTACTTTGAAAACTGACGAAATAAGGCTAGAAACAGTGTGTCAATGTCAGCAGCTCTGGTCTAGCTTCCTCCGTAGGTATCAATCAGTAATGGTTTACTTGAACACTTAGTTTTCCTGTTCCAATTTTTTTTCTGTCATGTAACTCCTAACATCACATGTTGGGAGTTAGTGAATACTCATATCATTTTAATGTAATGTACATTCCTAGTATACCCCTTATGTCTTTTAGCATCTGGTGACTGAACTGGGGTGCTATCAACCTATTAAGGTAAAATAGATTATCGATCCATGAACAAATGTATCATTAATAAATGTTTGTTATATGCATGCACAACCTAACTCTAACAACATTTGGGATTCCTCCAACCACAATGCCAATGTTATAAGGAAAAATGCAATGGTTAAGAAAGAACACGAAACACTCATGATATTTCAATAAGCTAAAGACACACCTGTTGAGAAACAGATGAAGTTGATTTCAATGCCAAATCACCTTCAATTTGCCTGACAATGCTGGAGAAAAAATGAGGAGAAATGAGAATGGGAACAGTGGACCTCTAATAAGTCCTGATAACTTAAAGAAAACTAGAAACAGTCAACTTATTATAGTAAATCACTGAGAAAAATATTTAAGGTAAAGAGAGTAGGAAGCTCCAGCTTATGAGGTTATACTGCATTGTATATTAGGGGAATAGATTTAATGTTTGGCAACAAAAATGGTTTTATAGTTTATTAACTTGTCCTACATACCTTCTGCTTCTTTTACAGGCCCCAACCATTTCTATTTCAGTAATGGTACTGCCATCCTGTAAAGCAAAAATTTTGATGTTGTAAGGTTATTTAATCTGAGAACATCATTATGCACTCTCTTGGGGGAAGAGGGGGCACATGGGATAGTCACTAAGGCTAGTTACTCACATTCCTAATTTTCATAGTAGTGAAGATTCATTAACTGCACTGTTGCTTTACCTTTTAATGCTCTCTTATATAATTTTTCACAGCTACAATATGTTACATGTCCATAACTCATAGTTATTGCACTGGCATGCTAATTAAGTGAGAAATAATTCAAGTTACACCCACAAAAGACAACTTGGGTTTATTTTACAATTTTTTAAAAGCTCCATCAACAGTTTCAATAGACAGTCCCCTCCTGGAATACTCTGTTTCTTGTATCTATTTCTCAATTGTTTTTTTTTACCATGCTCTAACCTTTTTTCTTTTAATTTATTTCCTAGTGATTTCACAGTCTACATTAGTTTTTCATATCATCATAACATTTACTATGCTTAAGTGTATTTTACATGAATCATATACTAGCCAGTGAATCCTGTCAATTAAAATAATCCAAAAGAAAACAAATTGCATGAACATGGACATGTAATAGCTTAAATATGTGGCTATTTTTTGGAATAAACACTTTCAACACATTGAAAAGCTTGTTACCTGATTGAAATGATCTTGTTTCACAATCGACATTGACCTAAAAACATACAGGCATGTCGTAAACAAGAGAAATTTACATCAATTTATGAACATTTTTTGGACTATCCATACTGTTATAATCCATAAGCTTTACCTAGAGTCCAATTAACAACACTGCAAAAGATTTGAATTTAACTTATGTTTGCGATGTGACACAAACAGTAATAAGATTTCTCAAAGGTAGCATACCTTTGGTTAAGAGAACACTCTTGTAAACTTAATTGTAGAGCTTTATGAAGATCGTGATCATCTTTCCAAGGTCCATTGATCCTGGTCTACAAATTAAAAAGCATAATTTTTTGGATTAATTTTCTCCCCTTTGTTGACTTACAGTCATTAAGGATCTGTCATTAATCCTTACCCCAGTACTAAAGCAAATATTAAATCATATGAATTAAGAATTTTGTGTTTGATGAAGTACTGTGAGGTTCATAACTTTTTATAATTCATAATTCATAATTATTTTAATTCAGATTAAGGGCCTGTTTACACAGAGGTAGGGGATCCCAGGTAGGTGAGGTAACCTGCCTGTCCATATAATTTCTTAATTTATTTTGATCACGTTTACATGATAGGTGGGGTGACCCGCCAAGGCAGGTTACCCGGTCTGCTAGGTAGGGTAACCCTGTCAGCCGGGGTGACAATTTGCCATGTAAACGTGTCAAGGTGGGGTAACCCGCCTAGCTGGGGTCGCGTTCATGGCAAGAAGCTCAAAAGCGAAACATGTATGTTTTTAAACTTTTTACCTTTCCTAGCCGTCTCATGGCAGAAAACACCAGAAACCGCAACGGACACACAAGGAGTGTAAAATGTTTACATTTCGGAATATCTGGCGTTGTAGATCGACCATATTCGGTTTCCCTGACTATTCCGTGTGACGTATTCAGTCAACGGTTCCTCGCGAAACCAAACACCGCGTAACACAGCGCGTGACGCTTTCATGAATAAATACGTATGTGTCCGAGAATTAATCTTTCGTCTTTTTCGACATGTGAGCTTGGGATGCCTCTGCTCATACTCCTTAATTGCAAGCGCAACAACAACCTCAAGAAACCTCACCTCAGCACCCCGGGGTTGTAAGATTGCATGTAAACGCGTTTTATTTTTCGACCACGGCTAGGTGGGTTACCTCACCTACCTGGGGTCCTCCACCTCCATGTAAACAGGCCCTTAGAATAGCCCAGTTTAAACGGAATTAGAACGAAACATCTCCTCACGCTTGTCACCTTTCCATTTTTTCCAGTATTATCATAGGTTTAGCGTCACTAGTAAAATTTTAAAGCTATAAAGAGTAATTTCCGAGTCCCCGAGTCCCCGACTCCCCGACTCCCCGAGTCCCCGACTCGGAGACGTGAGACTCGGAGACGTGGGACTCGGAGACGTGGGACTCGGAGACGTGGGACTCGGAGACGTGGGACTCGGAGACGTGGGACTCGGAGACGTGGGACTCGGAGACGTGGGACTCGGAGACGTGGGACTCGGAGACGTGGGACTCGGAGACGTGGGACTCGGAGACGTGGGACTCGGAGACGTGGGACTCGGAGACGTGGGACTCGGAGACGTGGGACTCGGAGACGTGGGACTCGGAGACGTGGGACTCGGAGACGTGGGACTCGGGGACGTGGGACTCGGGGACGTGGGACTCGGAGACGTGGGACTCGGAGACGTGGGACTCGGAGACGTGGGACTCGGGGACGTGGGACTCGGGAGACGTGGGACTCGGAGACGTGGGACTCGGGGACGTGGGACTCGGGGACGTGGGACGCGGGGACGCGTGGAGACTCGGGAAAGTGATAAACAAACCTGACTTTTGCGCTGAATTTGTAAAGTATTATTTTCGGTGGCCTAAGGTGTGATATGCTGGAGAGCTTGTCACTAGTAGCCGATGGTTTTCAGCGCCCGTGGTTCGGCCGGACATGTTTGCTTGCCTATTTGACCTATTTGCTCTGGGTACAGAATTCGTGCAAACAAGCTCTCCAGCATATAATATAGCTTTCTCGAAACGACCGAAAATTATACTCTACAAATTCAGCGCAAATATCCGGTGTTGTTTGTTTATCACGTCTCCGAGTCCCCGAGTCACCGAGTCCCACGTCCCCGAGTCCCACGTCCTCGAGTCCTAGTTAAAATTTTGTCTTTGTCTCCCGCTCGTGACAGGATGAAAGAAAACTTTATTTCATTTCACTAGCTCAACATTGCGTATCAATATTGGTACGAAACGTCATAACAATAGTGGAGACTATTGCGTCCAGTCACAAAAATAACTCAGTCTGATTTTCTAAAATAATAACTAAACAGTTTTTGAAGAAGAACGAAGAAACTACTCATATTACAAGTCGTTCGTAAAGCCTATGATAAGAAAAAATTTTTCTATTCTGAGTTATTGGAACTCTAAGCTTATTTTCAGATGAAAATCAACATTAATGTCAACGTGAATGAAAGTGATCCTCGCAGTAATGTACACTAGTGAAAATAAGGCCTGAAAAAAATTCAGGCCTGTACGGGATTTGAACCCATGACCTCTTCGATACCAGTGAAGCGCTCTACCAACTGAGCTAACAAGCCAACTGGGTGCTGGTCATGATGTTGTTTCTAAATAAACCCGTGAAGTGATGAATAAACGGTTAAGAATATATGAAAGTCATATATCGAACATTCCCATCGAACTCAATCTTATTTTCTAATTTTAACGATTATTAAAATAACACCTTGACAATTACGAAGACGTCTAGAGTCTGGCAATCTGCAGACAATGCAGAGCCACTCGCCCTCCGGGGCAGTTTTAAATCCCTCGCAGCTCATGTGTAACCTTTCCTCGCACAACTCGCACTGTACCATGTCGTCCCAACACTCTGGCATTGAACAATGACAAAATAAATTAGTGTCACAAGTTTGTCTCTTATTGAATCTAGCGGTGTTCGACTATCGCGGAAAAGGTTCAAAAACGACCTCACTCCAGACATTAAACTAAATTCTTGCCCATTTTCCTTTGGTCAAAAGAAACATCCGACGGGATGCCAGTTCGTATGCATTAACGATACGCATGTTTTGAATTAAAAACATACTTTCGTACGCACTGGAACGTAAAGTATCATCTATTTTTACTAGAACGTTAAGGATGATATCCGCTAGCGGATTTGGACCGGGGGTTCCATATCCGCTAGCGGATTTGGACCGGGGGGACCGGGGGGTCCAAATCCGCTGGGACACCGGCCTTTTCAAGGACAGAAAACCTGGGCTTGACATTGAGTTTGTAAAATTATCGTTCGCACGTGCACCATTTCAATCTGTTATTTTACAGCCTATTACAAAATAACTTCAGTCTTATATATTTTATTTGTAAGTGATTGGAACATTTACTGTCGCAATTCCCATGTTTTGAGCGCGGATATTTGTGTCTTTCGGCGCACGCTGACGTCTTGCAAGCGTCTGTGCTACTGGTAAGCGCACGGAACAGACTGAACTATCTTGCTCAGACCTCTTTTGTTCTTAACAACACGTTCGTATGGCTTAATACAGCCTACTTGATTGAGCTGGTGGACTTACAACCAAGCAAAAAAAGTAGAGGCTGATAAAAATGAATCCTATTAGAGTGAAAATCTCAACCCGCAAGTAAAATTTGCAGATCAGCCGGAACTAATGAGTAAAGGAACAAATAAGAATAGGCTAAATATCAAAATGGCGGATTAAGTTTTAAAAGGGCACCTGTTTCACCAGGATAGTCTAGCCAGTGATTGGACGCACCTCACATAGTTTACATATGTTAGTCAAAGTTTAAGTATTTGTCTTATTTTTCACCTCATTTCTGTTTACGAGACCTTAAATCGAGGAAATAGTTGTTTTTTATGGTTCCTTGAGTGACTGCAAGCTTGAGGATTACAGTGGTACGGTAACTATCAATTTTCTTGTTGGTGAAGCTGTGTCATTGGCTTTTTTGAAGAGTTCCATCGTGAAAAGCTGAAGGAGGTCCTTGGGGATCTCGACAGATCTTTCCTAATTAGACTTATAAAGATATTTTTAAATCCCGGAATTTTTAATGAATAAACGATTGGATTCATGGCGGAATTACAATAGTGCAACAGTTTGGTAAATTGGATCACTTTAAACGATATTTTCTTGCGTTTTCGATCTGACTGAAAAAAATAAACAGTGTTTATACAAAAAAATGGCAACCATGTAACAGCGAAAACTATTATTAAAATAAGAAGAGACAGGGCAATCTTGACGTCATAATGCTGTCTCTTAAGTGTCTTCCTTGATCCTATTCTTACAAGCTTTCTTTCTTTTGCTTTTTGCCACATTCCAAGATACATGAAGCACTTTGCAAAAAATGCTACAGTAAAGGAAACACAGAACAGAATAAAGAAAGCCCTTTGGATGTTGTAGTTACTGTATCTGAAGGAGTGAATGAAGGATAGTGTACCAGCAGTTACCCAGCAGATCATTAAAACTCCCACTTTAGATGAATTTCTGTGACTCACTGGGTACGCGATAGCATAAAAACACTCCAGACTTATTGACATCAGATGGTATATAGACGCAAAACCTCTAAATACATCCACTACATGATAAATAACGCTCAACACCATAGGGATGTGAAGATGTCTCTGGTACAGGAGCATCATACTCATATACAGTGGGACTGCGATTAAACCCACTAGTAGATCAGCGGTTGCTAGTCCAACTATAATGAAGTTTGTGCGCCTATGTAATGATAAGTTTCGAATGAACGGTAGAATGACGGTTGAATTTCCAAATATGGCCATGACTGCTAAGGTTCCAAATGCGACTCCCCAGGCCATTACAGAGAAAGAGGTTATGTTTTTAGGCAATGGCGATGTCTCATTGACAGCTGTGGTGTTGTTCATTGTCTTCGTAAACTTAAAATTGTTTATAAAGTTTTGCTAATGATGAAAATATTCTTATTGTGATATCGGTATACCTTCACATAACTTGTTTAGATTTTATGCCCAGCCTACGTCTATCGTAAAAAAAAAAACTGATGCACTGGCATGAAAAATGTAAACATTCAACGCCCGTAAAGCCAATGAAAAAATTCCGTCGACTATATCAGTATTCTTTTTACAGTGGTAACCCATCGATGTTACTGAATATAATATCTAAACAAGCCATGTAAAACATTGATTCTGAGTATCGAGACGTCAAAAGGGAAGGAGTCTTCTTATTTTCATACCACTGTGGGGATTGATAGGACATACGCTTTGGAATGATGAAGATTTTTTTTCATTGAGACTCAATATGTAAAAAC